CAAAAGGGTGCTTCTACTAAATACTGAGCAAAGGGTCTGAATACTTAGGACCATGTGATATTTCAGTTTTTCTTTTTTAATAAATCTGCAAAAATGTCAACGATTCTGTGTTTTTCTGTCAATATGGGGTGCTGTGTGTACATTAATGAGGAAAAAAAATTAACTTAAATGATTTTAGCAAATGGCTGCAATATAACAAAGAGTGAAAAATTGAAGGGGGTCTGAATACTTTCCGTACCCACTGTATATATATATATATATATATATATATTACACAGTGCAAGTGTTGTTAAAATTATTTCTGAATGATCACCAAATATATTAAATTGTATATAATATCTCACTGTATTACTATTTTTACTGTATTTTGATTAAATAAATGCACCCTTGGTTAGAATAAGAGTCTTGTTTCAAAAACATTTTGTTTTTGACTTTGTTTAAAAAAAAAAAACATACCAACAACAAATTTTTGAACAGCAGTGTAGTGTTTAGAAAAGATATATCCAATTATAGGTGTATTTTTAATGCTGATGTACTGTAATGAAGAAGCTACAGTAGCTAGATTTAATCAAGTATGTCTTTACTGAGCTTCTGTGATTGAATGAAACAGGTGGAGACTATAGGAGACGCATACATGGTGGTCAGTGGACTGCCGGAGAGAAATGGAGATAGACATGCAGATGAGATCGCTAAAATGTCTCTGGATCTGGTGGCTGCGGTCAGACAGGTGGCGATACCCCACATGCCTAACAAACGCCTTCAGCTCCGAGCCGGCATACACACAGGTGTGTATGTGTGTATCCTGTCTTTACACACAAGACCTGGTGATTACAGATTTATTAATAATAAAGGTGCCACATTACTAATGACTAAAACATGAATACATGAATAATTTTGTTATGTTACATGTTAGGCCTGTAACGTAAAGTCAACATGAAATTAAAATCAACCATACCCTGATCTTATTTGTCAATTCATCAGCTAGTTACAATGCGGCCTTTGTAAAATCGTGCCAATATTTTATCAGTGACAGTTAGCATTAATGTAATAAAGACTACAACAATAATAGTAAATAACAACAGATTTGATATATGATATATAAATATATTTGTAGTAATTCACTGTGTTGTCTTCCATGTCTCTCATACCACTTCAGGTCCTTGTGTAGCTGGCATTGTTGGCTACAAGATGCCGCGGTACTGTTTGTTTGGTGACACAGTCAACACAGCCTCTCGGATGGAGTCCACTAGTCTGCGTACGTTTATCTATCCAGTTAATGTGCAGCCTTTTAATCTTGTGCTGATATTTTTTGTTCCTCCACTGGTTCTTCTGAATGCAGAGGTCATGAATATTTTCACTCACTACATCACCATAGAGACCTCATCATATTCCTCCATATATTATAAACTGAGCTAACCAAGAGCCTCCATTTCAACCATGACATTAGCATGTGGCTAAGCTAACAACACAGTGTGTCTGAGTTTCATCTCAGCAGCAATGTAGCTTCTGCTCGTTGGGCATTTTACATAACGGGAACATTTACCTTTCTTTGATTTGGTCTTTAGCACAGAAGATTCATGCAAGTTCTGCTACATACCTGGCACTCATGAAGGACAATGCGTATGAACTGCAGTTACGCGGTGAGATCGAAGTAAAGGTGAGAATCAGTGCTATAGAAGTACTATGCTAAGCTGTTGAAACCACAATCATGTTCCCGTTGGGTTATCAGTACGTCTTACATCATGATTTGAAGATATTACATCACAGAAGATGAATAAAGTGTTTGTCTTCATAATATTTCATCCAAATGCAACAGCTTAATATGACATTATTGTGGTTTTCAGGGAAAAGGAAAAATGGACACTTACTGGTTGATTGGTCACAAAAACTACAGTGTTCAGAATGACAGTTTGGTGTGTCACTGGAACCCCAATATCTCAAGAAAGAAAAAGGCCCCTGTGGGGAGCAACGTGTCCATAGAGAATGTAAGTGTTCAACTTGTATTACTTGTTCTTGGAACATATACTACTGTTCAAAAGGGTCAGTGAGATGTTTTAAAAAATAATTTAATACTTTTATTCAGCAAGGAAGCATCAACTGACAGTAAAGACTTTTATTGTTACCTTACAGTTGTAGATAGATAGATAGATAGATAGATAGATAGATAAAGATATATACTGTATATTTCTATTCAATGCTATACATCAATGGATCCTAAAAAAAGTAATCGCAGTTTACACAAAATATTACAACAATTTTCTGTTGTGATAAAACTAAGAAATGTTACTTGAGCAATAACTCAGCATATTATAATGATTTCTGAAGGATCATGTGACACTGAAGACTGGAGTAATGATGCTGAAAATGTAGCTTTAGGAATAAATTACATTTTAACATATATTAAAATAGAAAACAGTTATTTTAAATTGAAATAATATTTCACAACATTTCTGTTTTACTTTTTTTTTTCTTTAATCTAAAATAAATAAAGCCTTGGTGAGTATAGGAGATTTCTTTCAAAATAAAATAAAACACTTACCGATCCAAGACTTTTGAATGGGAAGCACAATTTGCACAATTTTTGTTGATTAATACACCATCAAAAGATAGTGCTCTGACTAAATAAAGTTTTAAAGAATCATATTATTATTTTCTTGACTGTAGTGGTGGCGTGATACTGTAGAGCCTCAGTAAAGTGTATTAGATCACAGTAATCTGCTGCAATCTTGCACTCAGAAACGGCCTGAGGATGACAACTGAAATAAACAGCACTATGAGCTGCACAATTCTTCCCGTAAACAATGTCCTAACCAGGTGTGACACAATGTAATTCTACGTTTTTTTCCTTATCAGCCGCTTCTGCAAAGACCAAACATTTTGTTGATCATTTGGTTTCAATTTCTGCTCTGTGACACTAGATAACACTCACAGTTTCAAAATCTGCATCCACATTCAACTGTATTAAATCCATAGTTCGGTCATGAAACTGCATCCGAGTGCCAACTGGTTCTTCAAACACCATGGCAGTAGCCAATCGGACACACTTCCTAATTCATGTATCCAGCTATTTCATTCCCTAGCCGTCAATTTTCCTGCAGCACAATTGTGAAAACTCTTGTTTACCCTCCACCTCCCCAGCTCCACCTGTAGAGATCTGCCACACGGCTTCTCTAATTTTTCTTGCAGCAGCATGTTTCCTTATTATGTATGTCATTTTAACTGAGCCAAATCCTTGTATTTTGTTTAGCACCAGCAAAGCAGATCCCGTCTTCCAAAATCAAGCATATGTACATTCCATGCCAATACATGCTGGTTAGAGAGTTGTCATGACTAGTGTTGGGGGTAACACATTAAGTAACGCAGGTTACGTAATCAGATTACTTTTTTTAAAGTTACTAGAAAAGTAACACATTTTTAATTTACAAGAAAATATCTGAATAACTTTTTTCAAATAAGTAACGCCAGTTACTTTGTTTTCCCATGTATTAGCTGACAGCTATCCTGTCCCCATGTACAGAGAAATTGAGTAAGTGCAGAGGCATTGTGTGCGCTGTGAACATGATGCTACTGCAGTTCTGGATTAAATGTGAACATGCATTTGCTCATCTCACTTGCACTTTTAAAAGTAACTTTCCCCAACAATGGTCATGACTGAACTGTTTTAAACACGTAAATGTTCTGATTAGCTGTGATTGTGTCACATTCCATAGCAGTTTCACATTCAGTGTGAACAAATACACTCTTAAAGAAAAACAAAGGTCCAATAGGGGTTTTTCGCAGATGCCATAGAAGAACCATTCTGAGTTCCTCAAAAAACATTTCAGTGAATAGTTCTTGGATTTTTTTCAAGTGTGACAAACATTTTAATAATCCAGAGATCCTTTTATGTAAAGATTCTAGATCTTCATTGAACCATAGATATCAATAAAGAACCTTTACTTTTAAGAGCTTGTCAGAAAGTTGTTATAGTCATAGGCTATAGTATTTTTACTTCGTTACTGTGCTTAAGGCATAGTATTTTTATTTTGAGAAAAAAAATAATTTTTACTTCACTACATTCCAAAGTATAATATTGTACAACCCCAATTCCAGAAAAGATGGTATTGTAAAATGCAAAAGTTGGACTTTTGTAAAATGCAATAAAATCAAGAATCTGTGATTTGTTAAATTTTTAACCTTTATTTGATTGACAAAAGGACAAAGAAAAGATTTCCAATGTTTTCACTGACCAACTTGAATGTATTTTGTAAATAGAAATACATTTTGATTTCAATGGCTGCAACACATTCCAAAAAGTTGGGACAGAGGCATAATAAAAGTGAAAAGATTACGGAATATCCAAGTTAAACTGTTTTGAAACAGTCCACAATAAGCAGGTGAAAGTAATCAAAGTAGTCAAAGTATCGTGATTGGTTGTAAAAGGGCATCTCAGTCTTTGGCAGCAAAGATGGGTCATGGCTCATTACTTTACTTTGTGACAAATTTCATGAGAGAATTTGCAGACAAATAATTTCTCAATGCAAAACCACAAAGAATTTAGGTATTCCACCACATAAAATTGTTAAAAGATTCAGGGAATCCAGAGAAATGTCAGTCTGTGTAGGGCAAGGTAGGAAACCTCAGGTGAATGTGCATTAACTTTGAGCCCTCAGATGGCATTGCATGAGAAACCTCATTAAATATAGCCACATGGGCTCAGGAGTACTATGGAAAACTGTTCTCACTTAACACAGTCTGCTGCTGCATCAATAAATGCAACTTGAATCTCTGTTACTCTGGGAGAAAGCTATACATCAATTCTATGCAGTGATGCCGCTGGGTTCTGGGAGCTCATCTCATATAGTCAAAAATAAATGTGTGCTGTGGTCAGATGAGTCCACATTTCACCTGGTTTCTGAGAAAAATGGATGTCGAGTTCTGAATCCCAAAGATGAAAGGTACCATCCAGACCTTCATCAGCGACAGATGCGAAAGCAAACATCAAGACAATGCCAGGTCTCATTCTGCATGTGCTACAACAGCGTGCTTTCGTAGACACAGAATGAATGTGCTAGATCAGTCCAGATCTGTCTCCTATTGAAAACGTATGACCAGTCATGAAAAGGAGAATCAGACAATGACGATCACAGACTTCCGAGCATCTGAGGTCTTGAATCAAGCGAGACTGGGCAAAAAAATTTAACTTTAAAAAACTTAAAAAATTAGCATTCTTAATTCCCAGATGAGTAAAATGTGTAATTAAATGGAAAGGATTTGACACAGGGGTGAACATTCCTCTTTCCCAACTTTGTTTATATTCACAATATAAAATTAAGTTGGCCAGTTAAAACATTGGAAACTTTTTCTTTAGTCAATTAAATAAAGGTTAAAGAGAATGAACAAATAACATATTGTTGATTTTAAGGCATTTCACAAAATGTCCCAACTTTTCTGGAATTGGGATTGTGCTTTTTACACATGTCGTTCCTCATTATTTTGAACTGGACAAATTGTCACCCACTTAGAGACGTGATAGCAGTGTCTGATTCGTGAACGAGCTGATCCTTTTTAACCTGTTAAATCGGTCCACAAATCTCACTGAACGATTAATTCGTGAGTTGGACGGAACAGATTGCAGCTCTTCTCGAGTCGTGAAGCTGTTAAAAATGCATTGATGTTAGACTGAGAATACATTAATATAACATCTGCACCACATTTTTCAGTCCAGCCTCACTGTCCAGAGTATAGGTGACAGTATCACACCAGCCTCTCAACCTGAAGTCCTGCCCAAACTGGAGGGGTCAGAGGTCACACTGTGCGTTTCTGCACAGGTGGAGAACTGCGCGAGCAGCTTCGGGACACTGGGCTCAATGGTGGGAGCGCTGCAGGGGGAGCAGGAGACGGAGGAACGTCCACCCGACCAACACAATGAGAAAACTTCTCTGCTTCCTGGCGCAGTGTCACACAGCTGACCTGCACTGTCCTAACTAACTAAATAATGCACACAAGATGTTTTTAGAGTTTTTGTATGAAAGTGAATGAAGTGCTATGTGGGCCTTTACTGTATATTTCAAATACACTTTATTTTACATAACCCCCTTAAAAAATACTAAATACATTTTTAAGTGTTAAAATACATCAAAATCAGTAAGGAAATTACAGTATATTGGTAATGTATATTTTAATATATATTTATCTAAAAGTATTGTTACAATGTATTGTTTACAAGTAGCCATATTTACAGCTACTTGGTTTCAAACAACAAACCTTTGATTTTCTTGCTTCTGAAGAACATTTTTTGTTGTGTGGTTTCATTGTTAAATTTGCCATAATATTTAATCTTCTCTTACTCTCAAAATAATGCTGCTTATCATGAAACCTCACATAATAATAAAAAAAAAAGAAGGATTAAATGTGGCTATTAGCTTATTTGTCAATATTTTATTTGTAAAGTGAGGATAGTTACCAAGTATGTTCAGAGTTACCTGTCTCAATCCAGTCTTATCTCAATGTTTCTGATATATTTCATGTTATTGATGTTATATTTCATTTTGCCACTGTTCCGTTTTTCAGAGCTTTCAGTTTTGCTATCTTGCCTGAGTTTTTCCATTCCATAGAATATTTATTTATTTATTTGTATTTTTTATTTTTTTTTCATGGATACTGTGCGGTGTTCTTGATCACATTTGTGATATGTTTGTCTATGTTTTTGTTGTTGTTATTGTTTTTCTTTTTTGATGACAATCAATTTAAAATGAGTTATACTGTTACTAAATACTATAAATAAACAGGTGTCAGTTTATTTGTGCATTTGACCAAATTCTACTATTTATATATTAGGGTGATATATAGAAATTATGACCTGTCTATACTGTTCTATATTCATGTTGTTATGATTAAAAAAAAAAAAGTATTTTTTTTTTTTTTTTTTTTTTAATTTAGATTAAATGCTGGATTAAATATGTTAATTTCAGCAATTTAATTTAAAGTTTAAATTTGAATTAAA